ACGATTTCCAGCTGAACTCCCACTCTTCTTTCTTCCTTCACAGTGAGGCTTTTTCTTGGAACAGTACTCCCCATATTTGTTATGATTTTGGTTCCTGCTAGTCTTGCCCAGTGGGACATAGCCCACAGAAGGCAGGATCTGTGTGCTTTACTGACAGGGGACCCCAGCACCTGCTAGGGGCTCCATAAATATTTGTTGAATAACCAAACAAAGGAAGTCCGACACTGTGTGGTTTCTATCTACCATTTTGTGGCTCTCTACTATGACTGCTATGTCAAATTCTGTCAGGACACATAGAGCTGTTATGGGAAAATTTGGAGCAATAAAAAAGTATTGTAACATCTCAATGAATAAGCTTTCTCTTAAGGAAAAGGACTACATTTTCTACTTTATACTTTTAGAGATTATGACTATTCCTCAAATACAGAGATGGTCAACTGCTAAGAAAATAAACAGTCGATTACCAAAAGACAGAAATGCTCACGTGCAAAGAGAAAACTAGTTAATTTGCGTCTCAAAATCCCTTCACTTTTGCCAAGAAAACAGAAACGCCTTTGTTACTGTTTGAATTTCTGTTGGAAAGTGAGTAATGTGCAAAGAGTGGTCATAGCAGTGAGACAAAGTGATTTTAGTTGCTAGCTGCTCTGTGCCTGTCTGCAGCTCCCAGCCCCAGCAGCGTGGCCGCCAGCCGCCCCGAAGATCCCTGCCCACGGCCATCCCTGGACTCGGGCAGGCTCACGGTCCAGGACTCCTGCCAGCTCCATTCTCCCTCACTGTGCTCCCTCCCACCTCTGGGCACTGCAGAAGGCTCCCCCGTCACCCCACAACTGACCACGGAGAGCCCCACGCTCAGCGACTCCACCCTCACGAGAAGAATTCATCCAAGGGCTGCACACGTCCCGTCCTTTTCAGGGTCGAATTCCCTCATCAGTAGCCACAAAAATTGACAGTCATGACTCGAAAGTTTTTTCTACTTCAAGAGTCTAGAAATTTTCTAAAAGGAAGCATTCTTGATTTCATGTTCTGTTTACTTAGAGCTGGATTTGGGTCATTTATCATATATACTGTTAAAGAGGGTAAGTGTCAGCATTTTAAGTAGAAACTAGAAATTTATTTTAATATTCCCAACTTGGTACAAATGTGTTCCTTGAAAAAATAACAATAAATTCACCTTTCTACACATCATGAAATAATTTTTGAATTATTAGAAATTATTTTAAAAACATGCCTAGACTTTCCTAGGCTCTAGCTTCTGTTTCGCTTCTAAATTATAAGCTATTATAGGTTGTAAATTAGCCTTTTAAATTCCACGTTCACTGAATATTTTATGTCCCAAGCACTGAAAGTCTGCCCTTGGCAGCTCAGAAGTGTGATTCTGACCACAAGTAATTGTTTAACATTCATGCTCTTTCTTTTTACAGAGCAGCATTTATTTCTATAAAGTCTTTATAAACGTCAGCTGACTTCAGGTTCTAATGCTATGAATTGTATTGATGTTTATTTGGTAGTTGGTTTTGTTCCAAATGACCTACACAGTTTGCTTTGTAAAATAATTGTGTGACGCAAATTATAGTTGAGGGGTGGGGTGTATAGCTCGGTGGCACAGTGCTTTCCGGCAAGTACAAGTCCTGAGTTTAATTCCTGGTACAAAAAAAGAAGGAAGGAAGGAAGGAAGGAAGGAAGGAAGGAAGGAAGAAAGAAAGAGACACAGGAAGGAAGAGAGGAAGGAAGGAAGGAAGGAAGGAAGGAAGGAAGGAGGAAAGAAAACAAATTATATAGCTGAACATGTTGTTTTAAGCTACAAAATTACTTATAAATGGCATGCTAATTTAAACCATACTCTTTTCAATTCTTTTCCTTTGAAATACATTCAGGTTTTTGTTTAAACTGTATTTAATTTCAGAATATATTTTTATACCAAAATTCCATTTTCACAGTATAGTTTTTAAAGTCTATTCTGTTCTCCCTTTTGCTACCAATGGGAAGACCTGCCAAGGTTATGTGAACCAGCCACGCTCTTCCAAGTGCTCTGCCGAGCTGGGGATTCCTCCGGCCTCCAGGGAGGCCAGCAAGGGGCTGGCGGTGGCTGAGCTGCGGCACAGCTCACGGCTGTCGCAGGGGACTAAGGAGACCTGGGGCCCCAGACCAAGCTAAATAACAAAATTAAGTACAAAACCCACCCAAATCTTCCAGCACGTTTAGTGCACACTTCTTGAAGGCCCCAGAATCTAGGAACATGACATCTTGGCACTGTTTTTTTACTTAGTAAGAGATGACCAGGAAACAGGTTATTTTCAAGTTGGTCCTCTGAGAGCAGTAAATGGAATAACAGAGCAGAGAAAAAGAAAAACTCTCAGCCTTTCTTACTCTGATCCACTCGGCAGCACCTCTGCATCCACCCACCACAGCCCCATGCCAGAGGACATAGGGAACACAGCGGCAGCACACAGTGGGGCATCAATGTGTGTGTGTGTGTGTCCCCCACATATTAATAGTATAAAAATCATTATTTTTATCCTAATTTAATAATTTATAAAGAAGAGGCTGACCATGTAATGAACATCCTTAAAGGTCATTAAAGAAATTTTAAAGATAAACTAGGATTCAAATTCTGGTGTCATCATTTATAAGATCAGCATTCTTTCTGAAAAACCATCCTGTAGAGCAAAGTCCAGTAAGAGTCCTGATATTCTAGCTTGTTCTCAGTCCTTGCCAGCCGATGGTTCACAACAGGTTCACAGTGGTAACAGACTATGGTGCTAACAGCATGCATAACTATTCTCAATTCCATATCAATACACTATATATACATCTTCACCATGGAAAAAAGAAAAAAAAAGAGACATTTCTTTCCCCCAAAAGAGTATTTTATAGATTCTCTCTTTTCACTGACTATAAAAGCCTCTCTGTCTTTCGGTTGATGAGAGCCCTACTCTGCCAATCAGCGGAAGCCATCTAGAGTAGTCACATGGTCTCTACCTGCTTTAAATGACTATATCACAAGTATTATTTTCCAAAACAACCTCAGGTCTCCTTGGAAGTCCTTAACACACAAATGCCCCCTCTCCCACCTACATATGGACACTGCAGCTCTTCCGTCCTTGAACTTACTCTTGAACAATGTCCTTCTGCTCTCCACCCCGCCTCTAACCTGCTTACTTTTTCAGAACCAGTTCAAAGCCTACCCACAACTCCGATCTGGATGGACTCCTAGACTTGCCTCCTTGTCACTGAACATACATAATGAACCAAATGTCCTTTCTAGCAGGAATTCAGCTACTGCTTATGGTTGTAAACATATGGGCAATCAACATTGCACTTCTGGGATGATTACTTCTGCATAAAACACAGCAAGGATTAGAACATGGCCGAAAATATCAGGGACTGTGGCTTTGACAGGAAAGGACGGACATTCAGAGAGGAAACCTGAGTCCTACTTGTTCCTTCTCCTGTCTCCTGCTAAGTTTACCTTCCCTTTGTGCACCAAACCTTCTACTCTAACTGCACTTATTCTATTTCTTACACATGTTGCATCATCTCTAGCTTCTTATATTTGTTCTTCCTCTACATTTTATGTAGAATTTCTCTTTCTCATCTTCAAGGCAAGTTGCAATGTTAACTTTGTCATGAATACATGGCTATTTCTTTCAATCAGAAATAACATTTTCCTCTGAAATTGTAGAAGAGAAATTTATTCATGTAAGTGTTGGGTTTCTCATAAAGTTCAAGCCTCTCAATTCTTAAAATCAACCTCAATGTCTCAAAACTGTCCTCATGAGTTGAGGCCATTCTGGACACACACACACACACACACACACACACACACACCTGGTTGATGAGAGCTCTACTCTGCAAGACTGCATGGACAGTAGCCACCAATAGCAAGGAGGGAGGCCTTATGAGTCAGACTCCAGCTTCCAGGAATGTAAGAAATTAACTTTTCTGTGTTTCAGCCATTCAATCACTGGCACCTCCTGGTGACAGCCAGCCCTACCAAACTAATATCAGCCGATGTCAGGTACCATGTTTTCGGAAGTACCTTGAGTCACACTGAGAAAATTTCCTTTTCTTTCCACTTTGGTGAAAGATAGGGCGGGGAGATAGCTTGGTCATCTAAGTACCTGCCTGGCAAGCTAAAGGACCTGGGTTTGATCCCTGGTAATGCATGCTGTGCCAGCCCTGGAACCCGGGTGAGCCATGCTGGCCACCGAAACAAGGTATAGTGGCACATGCCTGTAATCTGAGCACTGGGGAGGCTGAGACAGGAGGATCACTATGAGTCCAAGCTGCATAGCAAGACCCTATATCAAATAAATAAACAATTTTTAAAAAGAGACAAAATGAAAAGATATTGGATAGGAAGAACCAACATAGTGAAAATGGCCATACTCTCAAAACTGTTATACAGGTTTAATGCAATCCTGATCAAAACAGCATTAACATATCTCACAGACATAGAGAAAATATTCCTGAA